GTCTATGTAAGACCATCTTCATGGACATTTTCATTTAAACATAATTAACATTAGAACATATAAAAATTTAACACAAATATACTGTCGGATCTATATCCATATATTTGCTTATATATATATATATATATATATATATATATATATATATATTTTGTTTGATTGATGTGAGTTTGTGACCTGGGTTTGCATTGCTTTTACGATCGTCAGACAAACTGACGATCGCTAAAGCGTGGAAGCCAGGGTCACATACTCACATCAACCCAACCAAATATGTTAGCTCTATCTCTGATATTGAGCGCTTTCTAATAAGTACCGCGCATATAATATATAAATAATTATATATATATATATATATATATTTTATATACATACATTTTTTATATATATATATATATATATATATATATATATATATATGTGTGTGTGTGTGTGTGTGTGTGTGTGTGTGTGTGTTGAATAAGATAAGCCTGTACAGATTTTGGCAATCTACGCTATGGACCTTGGAATATACACCATGTGTCATTATCTGTTAGATTTGATGGATATAATCAGTTGTTATGACAACAGTTTTGGATAGCGGACAGCCCAGATTCCCGGTCTTGTTACCGAACGCATATCCAGCAATTAAATTCCTACCACGTGCGTCGTTTACGCCAGACGTGTGGCTTGAAATGGAAAAAAAATGCTCAAAAATAGTGAAATACTGTCCAAATATGACAGAACAGGGACTTGAAACCATCTTAATTAAAATACAGCTCAGGTGGTTTGCTCGTCTTATTAGGATTGTCGCTAGTATATTGCTGAATTTTTCGGGCAGATACAAATTGTCCTGGGTATGACTCTACATCCGACAGCAAGACCTCTGCTCAGGAGGTTCTGAGGAGCGTGGAACCCACCTCTTAATTGCTGTTTTTCCCAGATCCACCTTAATCCGAGGTGGTAGCATCTGTTAGGGCCCAAACTATGAGTAAATAGTGTTTTAATATTCATTTGATGGTCCACGAAGTACAAAATATATTTACATTATTCAGACAGTTATTCTCATCTTGCCATATTCACAAAATTTCGGCCGTTGTACACTCCGGCCTTCTTCAGGTGATTGGAATTCCGTAACGAACCCTTTATTTCGTCCATCGGGGTAAAATGTTCTAGTTTCACGTGCCATGCCCCTTTCCGGATGTGTCAGTTATTTCCCTGTAACTTTTTTGTGGCCTGGTATTGAACTCACAACTCTTTGGTTCTCGTCACTGGATCTAACCAACGCCTTTATCCACATGGCCCGGTGGTTCGGTTCGAAATTCCAACCACCTGATGAAGGCCGGGACGTACATAGGCCGAAACGTTATGAATATGGCAAATAATCATCATACCTCATTTCAGAAATACAGACAGGTACAAAAATATATTATGGTAAAAATACCAATAGTATGTTTATAAAAAATGACACGTAGTGATACAGTTTTATAGCAAAATGGCAATGTAAATGATAAGCCCTAAAGTATAAAAATAAGTTACTTATAGGGAAATTAGCAGCAATGGATTCATCTTCAAACTGTGTGTGTATATATATATATATATATATATATATATATATATATATATATATACCCTTGTGCAAATTAATTGAAACAAAATGAATGATTTCGTTATTATTTACTTTTTCTTCGTATTTTTCCAATGAAATATGACCCAGTGCAAATGTTTTTACTTCGTATATCCATTCCACGATGTCGTTCCTTGCAGATTGACCACAGATTCTCAACTGGATTTAAATCAGGAGAATTTCCGAGTCAATCGATAGTGCTTTGATTTGCTCACTGGTAAAGGTGTTCGCGCAGCGTTACAATATTCGTACGCTTCCTTGGAGCAACGTCCCTCACAGACAATGGCCGTAGGACAACTAATCGACAGTCGAGACAATAGTGTGGGCGTATTGAAAATCTGATGCAATCACGAATGACGCAATATTTTTCAAGGCCAAACAAATTTCATCATACATCCCGAAAATAGATTCATATTACTGCAAATGACCTCATCTGAGGAAAAATAGAAAACGATTACACCCTGTCACTCCACTAGGTTTAAAACTGACTGTATGTTGAAAGAAAGGTAACTAAAGCGGCTGTTTCAATTAAATTACACAAGGGTGTACGTTTTCTCTGCAAGCATAAAATTTTATACAAAATATCGAGTTAAAGCTATAATATTGTGCACAAAATATTTAGTTGGCGATAAATAACCAGTAGTTATGCCGCTAAGCAAAAACAACCAACCAAGCAGATACAATCTTCTCAGGTGCAAAGGTAAATTGAGTGGCAACGTGAAACCATGTGGCGTCGATAAAAATCTAAGGGACAGTTGACAAAATGAAGACCTCAAGGGAAGACATTACACTCCACGTAACTTAAAGAATGCAAAACTGGAGCATTAAAATATTTCAATGGAAATATTAAAGAAAAGCATGACATTTTGTCATTTTGGTTTTAAAGGAAGAAGAAAATCAGGACTCCTCCAGAATGGAAATCGGTTTACTTTCTCCAAAATCATGAAATATGTACTTGATTTTGCAGGCCCGCTGATCCATCCTCACAGAATCTAGGGACTGAGAAGGTTCCACGTTGCTTAACTTCGGTGATTTTATGGAAATATATATATATATATATATATATATATATATATATATATATATAGTAAATAAACCTAAAGAACCAGACTAAGTTTCACCTACGCGGATCGTCAGGACGGACTAGCCAGTCCGTCCTGACGATCCGCGTAGGTGAAAAACCTAGGTAGGTTAGCCTTGCACTTTAGGTTAATTTACTTATCTTGCTCTACTTAGCGTATTGAGCATTTTGTTTAGTTGTTTTACTTTACTCGTGTCGGAGGTTTTTTCTTTGGACTCTGAACTTAGATTCTAGACGATTATTTTCGCCGGAAGTACGTGTTCTTTGTTCTTCCTTTTTTTTGCCCTTTTTTGCCCTTGGGTATTGGTTTGTTCATTTACAAGCTATAACTCGAAAGGTTTTGCCGGACGAGTATAGCTGCTTATATTTATAAGGTTATATATATATATATATATATATATATATATATATATATATATATATATATATATATATATATATATATATATTTATACACACACACTATCAGTTAAAAGTATTTGGTCACCCACAAAATATTTTATTTCTCATCCTAAAAGTGTTAATTGTAATAAAACAAATTAAACACCACAATGGTTTTATTTATTATACAAAATACAAGTCTTCCTCGGTAACCTTTTTCTTGGAATATGCAGATATCTTCTAAAATCTTGATGTGAAGGCGTCTTTCTTCTTTACTTCTGAGTACGAATAAAACGTTTGCCAAAAGTTACATTATACCAACACTTGAGCTCACATATACAATATATTCTGTTGGGCACCTCGGGGTGGTGCAATGGTTACCAAGTATGACTCCCTAGAATAATTACGACTGAGCAGTGAGTTCGATCCTCACTCGGTGTCCCATACTTTCGGCCTTGTGCCACATCTGAGCTACGCTTGGAAAATCACTATACAATATATTCTCTTGTATTACTGCTTGATACTAAATGTTTTTACCTATGATGCCAATGTACCTTGCCCACTAGGGAAATCTGTTATGCTTATTTTGTTTAAATTCAAAAATGAATTTTGCAAATTTCTTCCGGATCAAAACCATTTTTCTCAAGAAAATGCTCCGAAACACGTGAACTTACAATTGAACAAAGACAAAAGATCATTACTTTAATAAAAGAAAGGGTGGAAAATATTTTTAAGTGTGTGTGTGTGTGTGTGTATGTGGGTGTGTGTGGTATGTGGATGTGTGTGTGTGTGTGTGGGTGTGTGTGTGCAAAATTTGAGATAAAGAACAATATGAATAAAGCCAACTGGAAAAATTAGCCAACACCTTTCGTCGTCCGATGAACTTTATCAAGGTAAATGCAAGTATCCCATTCTGTGACAAGTGTTTACAGACAAGAGCATATGTGCCTCCCTTTCTTTTTTAATTTAAAAGACGCTCATAAATATTCATCAGGTTAACTGAAGTCTAGGTAAATTATGGAGAGACGTCATCATCATCATCATCATCATCATCATCATCCATCAACCTCCCTGTGATTGGTCGGAAACTCTATTAACAATCCCTTTCCACACTGCTCCCTCCTGCATTGCCGTCTACAGGTCGTCATTGTTCAACCCTGAGTCCCGAGCCATGGTGCCTGGGGAAGTCAACTTTTGTGTGAAGATACCTACAGAAGGACGCCAGAGAAGTAAGTATGAGACGGCCTCCCTGTTTACTTGGTGGCAGTGGCCGGCAAAGTGTAATCGTTTTTGTTTGAGCTTAAGGGAGATCAGTCTCTGTTCTCCATGAAAGTGATGCATGGGATCTCCAACTGATTTTATGTATTTCTATATGTTTCATCCAGTCGTCTTTCAAGGTGAGCAGATAATGTCCGAGTTTCTGATCCATACAGTAGGACTGGTTCAATCAGTGTTTTTAGGAGGGTGGAACGTTCGAGCGTCAAATGTCTTGAAGTGGAATAATTTAATGGCAAATAAAGGTAAATGAGTAAAAGATGCTCTTGGATTTTTTTTTATGCAAGTTAATATTTAAATTATTTTAGTTTGTGATTAATCTATATATTAGATATTTTAAATGACATGATGTTATGTACATATCCACCTATCTAGCTATCGAGCCTTGTGATATCTATCTATCTATCTATCTATCTAGCTAGCTAGCTAGCTAGCTAATTCTGTTCGTATCTATCTATATATTTATCTACCTCCGTTTGTATCTATCTGTCTATGTATATATCTAATTCTGTTCATATCTATCTATCTATCTATCTATTTATATCTATCTATCTATCTATCTATCTATCTATCTATCTATATATATATATATATATATATATATATATATATATATATATAAGTGTGTATGTATTATACTGTTCTTATCTATCTGTCTAGTTCTGTTCGTATCAATCTGTCGGATTCTGTCCATATTTATCTATCTCTCTGTTCATATCTTTCTATTTATCTCATTCTGTTCATATCTATCTATCTATCTATCTATCTATCTATCTATCTATCTATCTATCTATAGCAATGTTTCGTAATATACCTCATTTTTCACATCTATCTATCTAGCTTAATCTATCTATCTTAATCTCTTCATTATCTATCTATCTATCTATCTATCTATCTATCTATCTATCTATCTATCTATCTATCTATCTATCCCTAGCAATGTTTCAATATACCTCATTTTTTTTCACATCTATCTAGCTAGCTAGCTTAATCTCTTCATTATCTATCTTAATCTCTTCATTATCTATCTATCTATCTATCTATCTATCTATCTATCTATCTATCTATCCCTAGCAATGTTTCGTAATATACCTCATTTTTCACATCTATCTAGCTAGCTAGCTTAATCTCTTCATTATCTATCTTAATCTCTTCATTATCTATCTATCTATCTATCTATCTATCTATCTATCTATCTATCTATCTATCTATCTATCTATCTATCTATCCCTAGCAATGTTTCGTAATATACCTCATTTTTCACATCTATCTAGCTAGCTATCTTAATCTCTTCATTATCTATCTTAATCTCTTCATTATCTATCTATCTATCTATCTATCTATCTATCTATCTATCTATCTATCTATCTATCCCTAGCAATGTTTCGTAATATACCTCATTTTTCACATCTATCTATCTAGCTAGCTTAATCTCTTCATTATCTATCTTAATCTCTTCATTATCTATCTATCTATCTATCTATCTATCTATCTATCTATCTATCTATCTATCTATCCCTAGCAATGTTTCGTAATATACCTCATTTTTCACATCTATCTAGCTAGCTATCTTAATCTCTTCATTATCTATCTTAATCTCTTCATTATCTATCTATCTATCTATCTATCTATCTATCTATCTATCTATCCCTAGCAATGTTTCGTAATATACCTCATTTTTCACATCTATCTAGCTAGCTAGCTTAATCTCTTCATTATCTATCTTAATCTCTTCATTATCTATCTATCTATCTATCTATCTATCTATCTATCTATCTATCTATCTATCCCTAGCAATGTTTCGTAATATACCTCATTTTTCACATCTATCTAGCTAGCTATCTTAATCTCTTCATTATCTATCTTAATCTCTTCATTATCTATCTATCTATCTATCTATCTATCTATCTATCTATCTATCTATCTATCTATCTATCTATCCCTAGCAATGTTTCGTAATATACCTCATTTTTCACATCTATCTAGCTAGCTATCTTAATCTCTTCATTATCTATCTTAATCTCTTCATTATCTATCTATCTATCTATCTATCTATCTATCTATCTATCTATCTATCCCTAGCAATGTTTCTATATACCTCATTTTTTCACATCTATCTAGCTAGCTATCTTAATCTCTTCATTATCTATCTTAATCTCTTCATTATCTATCTATCTATCTATCTATCTATCTATCTATCTATCTATCTATCTATCTATCCCTAGCAATGTTTCGTAATATACCTCATTTTTCACATCTATCTAGCTAGCTAGCTTAATCTCTTCATTATCTATCTTAATCTCTTCATTATCTATCTATCTATCTATTTATCTATCTATCTATCTATCTATCTATCTATCTATCTATCCCTAGCAATGTTTCGTAATATAGCTCATTTTTCACATCTATCTAGCTAGCTAGCTTAATCTCTTCATTATCTATCTTAATCTCTTCATTATCTATCTATCTATCTATCTATCTATCTATCTATCTATCTATCTATCTATCTATCCCTAGCAATGTTTCGTAATATACCTCATTTTTCACATCTATCTAGCTAGCTAGCTTAATCTCTTCATTATCTATCTTAATCTCTTCATTATCTATCTATCTATCTATCTATCTATCTATCTATCTATCTATCTATCTATCTATCCCTAGCAATGTTTCGTAATATACCTCATTTTTCACATCTATCTATCTATCTAGCTTAATCTCTTCATTATCTATCTTAATCTCTTCATTATCTATCTATCTATCTATCTATCTATCTATCTATCTATCTATCTATCTATCTATCCCTAGCAATGTTTTCGTAATATACCTCATTTTTCACATCTATCTAGCTAGCTAGTTTAATCTCTTCATTATCTATCTTAATCTCTTCATTATCTATCTATCTATCTATCTATCTATCTATCTATCTATCTATCTATCCTATCAATGTTTTCGTAATATACCTCATTTTTCACATCTATCTAGCTAGCTAGCTTAATCTCTTCATTATCTATCTTAATCTCTTCATTATCTATCTATCTATCTATCTATCTATCTATCTATCTATCTATCAAACGTCCCAGTTGATCGATATATCTCTAGCTCTTTTTATATTCTCTATTTATTCATGTCCGCCCTAAGCTGAAACCAGTGCCTCTCCACATTTTTGCTTCTTTTAAGACTTCTTTTATTTCACCACTGCGCCGCATTATTTTGATTTTATTCTAACATCCAGTCAGTTTCCTTTTGCACAACTCATTAACGATTTTGCCAAATGTTGGGGAAACTTCCATTCAGATTCCTTCATCATCGAAATAGAATCCGCATAAAACAGGGTAAAGAAAACGTCTTAACAAATAGAAAAATGGTAGAAAAAATAGCATAATTGGATGACAATATGACGTAGAACCCTAAAAAGAGATTGATTATATAGAAAACCTTTGTGCCTATGTATTCAAATACATGCCAATAGCAGGACCATTTTTTTCAAAGATGTTTTCCCCTTCTTCGGATGAAACAATTACAAGAGTTCTTTATCTAATTCTACAATGGCATGCTCTTCCCATTATATAAAAATGATGAATCTCATTTTTTGCACATCTTTCATATGGATCTATCTATCTATCAGTCGATTATATCTTTATACAATTAATCTAGCTTAATCACTTCATTTTCTATCTTAATCTCTTCATTATCTATCTATCTATCTATCTATCTATCTATCTATCTATCTATCTATCTCTTGCAATGTATCTTAATGTATCTCATTTTTCTTCATATCTATCTATCTATCTATCTATCTATCTATCTATCTATCTATCTTATTCCTTCTATTATGTATTTACCTAACTATCTAATTATACAATGGTACACACTTCTCTTAATATAAAACATGAAGAGCACAATATAGCCTTATTTTCATTTAAGCTTTACAAATGGCAACTTTGCTATAAAGTTTTTTCTTATTTTTTAAGAACATATTCTGCGGAAAGATGTCCAAATCAATGGACAAAATGATTGCAAGATTTTTGGTATTATCACAAAGAAAGTGGTAATTTATTTCTATTCAAATGTCGAAAACGTTATGATATTTTTGTTTTCATCTTTATATGTGCCGTGTCCATGCTAGACGTGGATGCTCTTATCACCCTGAAAAACTTTTCAATATTAATAGTCGGTGCGAATAAATGTATAGAAAATTGAATCGGTGAGCTCAGTTCAAATCGAGACAGAGTCAGTTTGTGATGAGTTCGTACTAATACCAGGTAAAGGTAAAGTATGATTTCGTTTTCTTTGCTGTCAGCTATATCTTAAATGTAAGGCGAGAGTGGAACTCTATAGCCTTGGCTAACAATCAGTATAAGACAAGAACAGCTAAGATATCCAAGAGGCGACTAGAAACCATCCCAGGAAAATATGTCAATGCACAGATATCAAAAAGGAAGCTGCAAAGGACCATGACCCTTTCCATTTTGATGGCGCTTAACACTATTATTAGATGCAATCGTAAGTGTTTTTTGAATAGTTTCTTTACTCGCACTTCTCGCATGTGGAACTCACTTCCGTCTTTTTTTATTTTCTCCCAGCTACGCTCTTCCAAAAATTGAAATACAACAGCAGTCGTCATCTTTTTTGTTTTCTTGAATCCTGTTCATTTATGTTTTCTCAGTTACGTAGCATCAGATAGAGGCAGTTGAGATGTCTAGGGGACATAATGAGGAAAGACGGCTTGGAAATTTGACACTCACAGGGCATATTAAAGGCAAGAGAGAGGGAGAAAAACAGGCAATAACCTATAAAACCGGTTAGGGTTTGGCAGAAGAGGGATTAGGAGAGATGGCAAAAAGTCAAAATTTACTTTGAGCTACAAAGGAAAAATTTGGAGAGCTATGATCGCCCATGTCCTGAAGGGACACGACCCAAGAAGAAGAAAAAGAAGAAGGGCTGCAATTTTAGCGATTTGACATGTGTGTTACTTTCACTTGATACACATCTAGCTCCAAATTTCTTCTAAGAATTGCAGCTGCCTCTAGGGAAAAGACGAAAAATGCTGGGGTTTTGAGGACTGCAAGAAGACGTAAGAGAAAAGAAAATTCTTAGTGAATGTGGCTACTTGAAATTGAAGACTAACTGACAGGTACGCAACTGTACAAAGGACACTTGAAAAGAGAAACATAATACAGTAGCGAGCATAAAGATCAGAACAAAAAGTCTAAATGTGAAGTAACTTTTTTTTTTAAAAAAGCTTCAAAGAACATTTTATCAAGGCAAAATAAGGATATAAAAGTAAATTATATAATTTCAAAATATAAAGCTCAATAAACTTATTTTGATAAAGTTATAAGAATAAATATACAACATTCGAAATAAAACAGATGATCAAAAATATCAGAACGATTAACAAAATCATACAATTATAATAGATACATCATATTCGAATGAAAATAGCGTTCATAATTCATTAGTACTTGATGTGTAGACCTTTACGTGCAATAACAGCTTGACATCTTTTGCTACATGAGTGAATTAATGTCTTGCATTCATTAACGGATATTTTCTTCCACGCTCCTTTCAAATTAGTCCATCGTTCTTCGACGTTTGTTGGATTCTTTTCCTTAGCCTCTTTAATTTAGTAACTTCCAAACATTCTCAATATGATTCATGTCTGGGCTTTGAGCGGGTCACTCAATGACTTTTTCTTAGCCTCGTTCTGAACTTTATGCTCGCTACTGTATATTATCATTGCGCACAAGAATCTAGTACATCTATTCAAACACGGACAAATCCTACAAAAATAGCAAATACCCATCTTGTGCAAAAAAATATTTAAGATAGAAACCGACCTCACTATAAATGAATGCCTTAATTTGGTTAAAACGAACATAACAGGGTCATGACAGAGTATCAAAGTCATATATTGGAACTATATCAGAAGATTAACAAATAGATACACAAATAGATATATTTTACGTTCGCCTATCTCATGTCTCAGTTAATCGAAAACATATTTCCATATAATTAAGGAACTATTTTCAGTGTATTTATATGAAGACTTGTTCAGATGGTAGACGCAGGTGGATTGATTGATGGTGGACGCTTAAATATTGATCGATATCTTTCCCATCATCTGAGACTGCCAAAAAGTCATTAAGTTTTCCCGTCTGTCGAAAGGTTGTCACGAAAACTTTTCTCACACTTGAAAGATTCTAGCATAGGAATTATAAATTAGGAGCTTGCGTTCGACTCGAGGTAATACTCCGCGGGTCGATGGCGCATACTATAAGTAGCGAGCTGTGAATTCAGTTCTCACCTTAGGCTTCAACTAGAAGATTTTATAAATTGATATCTTTTGAAAATAAATAAATAGGCGCTTAGTTTAAAGGCCATTTCTCTCGTAAACATTTCAATTAAACTCACTGCACCTGATATTTGTGTCTCTCTTGTTTTCCATTTTGGAGTAGCTGTAAATATTATTTCTACAATGAAGAGATATTTCGGTGATAGGTTCATTCTTTTAAAGGGTAGCCTCGTTTTGACTTTTAATTTCATAACATGTTCAGCCATTATAATCTTTCACTGAATTTCTGACAGGTGTTCTTGTTACTATTAGGATGACCTTTTAGTAAAATCGTCCTGGTGCTTGTCTATCTTGGTGTTGTTTTATGAATTAATTATATAAATTTGCATACCATGAGTCTCTGATGGCTTTCAAAAACCATCAAATGACAAGTTTCCTTACTTCAGGAGACATCTTATTATTTAAATATATATATATATATATATATATATATATATATATATATATATATATATATATATATATATATAAACAAATATATTGATATAGATCCGACAGTATGGAGAAAAATATATATGGAAAAAACAAAAATCCTTATATACAATTTATACTGTTTTAATGTTAATATGTCAACGTCGGACGTTTCGGTCTAATAAACCATCTTCAGGACATATTCATAAATTATAACATTATCAATACAACATGACAAACGTCATGTTGTATTGATAATTTATGATAATGTTATAATTTATGAATATGTCCTGAAGATGGTTTATTATAAAACGTCCGACGTTTGTTAAAAAACAGTATAAATTGTATATAAGTTATATTTTTCTTCATATATATATATATATATATATATATATATATATATATATATATATATTTATTAGTATGTGTGTGTGTGTGTATAAAGTTAGTATCGAAAATACTTTTTACAAATTTTGGGGACAGGTTCTAACACGAGAAAAGGTAAAATGTCTATATAAAACATATATCCAAAAGGCTATTGCTGTACATCAACAGAGAAACTCGTAACAAATGTTTACAATGTCTCCCGCTTGATTCTAGACTCACATGCCTCCGTCGGATCATTGATTGGCGGACCCTGTTAAATACTCTCGCACGGGGTCGAAAGGATTTAGATGCCCCCATGACGCGTTGATGAATCGTCTCTGCGTTATTGTTTGCTGCGTAAACCAATTGTTTTAGGTGGCCTCACAGATACAAATCCAATCAGAGTCTGTCTATATTTCAAATGGGATCACACATATATCGACAGGATGAGGGCTTAGCAATGGGCTCGCCATTATCACCAGCAATGGCGAATATATACATGGAATACTTTGAAGAAATGGCATTAGAATCTATATCTCTAAAGCCTACTATATGGTTAAGGTACGTAGATAACGCCTTCATATTCTGGCCACACCAGGAAGATGTCCAGATTCGACTGGACCATGTGAAGTCAATAAGACCTTCGATACAGCTCACAATGGAGAAAGAAAGTAACAACACACTCCCATTCCTGGATGTACTAATATCTCGAAAAGAGCATGGGTTCAAGACATCCGTATACCGTAAACCAATATTCACCGGACAGTACCTCAATTTCAACTCCCACCATCCATACAGCGTAAAGAAAGGGATCGTCCGATGCTTACAACACCGATCAAAAGTCATAAGTGGCGACCCAGAGAGGCTAGGTAAGGAATTGGTCAGTATAAGTAGTACCCTACAACGCAACAACTACCCTGGGTACATGGCAGCAGACCCCTAAAACTGGGATAGGCGGGTACAAGAGGAGGAGGAGGAGGACAACAACACTCAGAAAACAGTCTGCCTGCCTTATGTGAAGGGGTTATCAGAGAAAATACAAAGGATCTGCGGTCCATATAACATCAGGACAACCTTCAAAAGCGTGACAACACTTCGCAGGTATCTCTCTCGAGTGAGACCCCCACAGAGAGGAACATGACTAAAGACTGTGTGTACGCTATCCCGTGCAGCTGCGGAAAGGAATATAAAGTAGAGACAGGCCGCCCCTCAAGGTAAGGCTTCAAGAACACCAGAAAGCTGTAACACGAGGGAAGTAGAAAAAATCATGGCTGACCACATATGGAGAGAGAAGGAGATCACCTCCCCTGTGGGATCATGTTGAGATCATAGACAGGGAACACCACCGGAAAATTCGTAAACTTAAGGAATCAGCACATATGCTAGGCCACAAAAAATCTCCTGAACCGACCAAGCATAGAAATAAATACAATATGGGAACCAGTAATAAGGAGTGCCAGAGAAAAGCAATGATAACAAAGTTGCAATATGAGCTCTGGTAAAAATGGTTGCTGAAAAACATAAGGTTTATAATACCCAGAAATTCATACCCAGATGTCCTCAAGGACACATGGCACAGTGGATAAAGGCGTTGGTTAGATAGCACATAATTATTATATTTTTATATAATATAATATATATAGGTATAATAGTTATCTCCACTAATTCTATGAAAAGAGAGAATACCGTATTATGAGTCTAATGGCGCAGCCACTCGTACCCGAAGATGCCA